TGTCTAAATATCACGCCACTTACCACTTACTATCGAGGCAGTCTGAAAATCACAAGAGATTTCAAATTAACTCAGTTTATAGTGTTTCGATAAGTCCGACTATTTTGATTACCTAGCTGCATCTTTCAGAACAGGGCAAGCTATCTACTAAACTGACATCACTATTGCTTTCTATAATGATCACAGGAGTTGCTACATAAGAAGATGAAGCAAAGTCACGAAAAACGTTATCTCCAGGTCATATGACAGAACATAGAATCAGTAAAAACGATTACGTTGACCTAAGCATCAACAAAGTCAACAAAACCACCGATTGAACATATCAGAACGCTGACCGATGCATCATCCATCGTAGCCTTCAGATATGGCTGGAGACCTATACAACGTCTGAGTCAGCATGTAACTTATAAGTACAAAATCACCTTCGTTGTCAAATTTCACCTTTTGTGTCACATTAACCTGATCAGGTGATAGAAGTGTAACGAACATGGTCCAGGTATTTAGCCTTAGTGCAGCAGATGAAGTAACAAAATCGAAAATATTTTTGGCCTGAATCACGTCGCTCTTCTGTAGAGGGGATGAAACTTCTTTTGTTCGTTGATAGTTATGTAATCACCTACTTACACCTGTCGCTCCTCGTTGAAAAGCATAGGCCTCCCACCAGCATTCTCCATCCAATTCTGTCCTGGGTAGTCTTTCTCAGTTGCTATTCGTCCTTTTCATGTCTGCTTCCAATGAATTCTTTGGTCTCCTTCTTTTCCGTTTCACTTCAGGATTCCAAGTTAGCACTTGCTTCGCGATGCAGTTTGATTATTTCTGAAATTTTTGTTCGATCCTCATTGAATGTCCTTCCTTAATTTCTTCTTTATTTGAAAGCTCGCGTTTTTCTCTTCCACAGTTGGATGTTGCTAATGGTATCCGGCCAATGGACGGTGAGTATCTTGTGTAGACAATTATTTATTAATATGTAGTGGCATTGGGCCCTAATACGAGAAAATGTGGGAAATAGACATTCAACAATTACCACGGAGAGAAACCCAGATGTGAAGAGGGGGAGGAGCAATTGAATTAATCGGAGTCGATAGTATGACATGGTTCGGCCATGCAGGCGTGGTCCGTGCTGAATGTTACCTTATATCTTCTATTCATATTAAATATATTGTTCTATTTCTAGCCTAAGTCTGTTCTCTATCATGCATTGGTGATTGTTACGATGTAGTGAGGTGGTGTAGACGATGATGTGACTTCCACGTAAGATCTTATAGATTAGGCAGTTACATCATGACAAATCTACAATTATAGGGTTAGGTTTGTTATTAGAGCAGTACTAATATCACAGTAGACCATAAATCTACAAATACATGTACCTTTTTGATGATGTTTGTGGCGTTATGTGTACAACTGATGTCGATAGATATAAATAGTATGTATCGACTATCGAAAGTGAAATACCTGGCAGCAGAAGGTTAGGAAGATCGGAGGAAAGTGAATGAGAACAGTGAATGATTGCTGTGGAAATGAAGGAAAAATGAAGTCTGATACGACTGATTGACATTTGCGAAAGGAACAGTCAAAATTGAGACGATTGTTGACACTTTACAAAATAAGTATTTACTGTGTAGTGCTCAGATTCTTCTAAGATGTTCCGTAGTTTTGTATTCAAAATCATTTGATTGCCACCACTTGTGTTCTGACTCACTAAAGTGGTGGTTCTCCAAATTTATGTCTTTACGTTTCTATTGAAGTTGCTGGCTTTGGTATTTGTTGATATTTGTTTTGAGTTCCATATATTTTTTAACTGTAAGAGTGCTGCACTCGCTTCGCCAATCCTTGCATTTTCGCATGCATCTGATGCTTCTTGTTCATCGATGCTGCTTTCCAGGTACATGGAAGTTTCCGAATTTTTCAGAGTTCTTCTATCAAGTATGATTGGATAGGTTAATTATTACATCAAAGTGAATTCCCAAAATAATGTAACGATGATGAGTAATGATAATTAATTATATTTGAAAATACAAAGTATCTCAAGATTGATAATATAACACTAAGGAGTCAAAACTTCCTGTGATACTAAATAATGTATCATACGGAGAAAAGTATTAATTGCAGTTATTACGTACTTGACAAACATAAGATATTTTCCTGACGAAATGGGATCGTAATTCTGTTTAAACGAAACGAGTCGAAGAAGCTTTTAGCAGATAGTCCGACAGCAACAGTATGAAGTTAATTCACTTCATAACATTGAGTTCCGTCAAAGAAGTCCTTGTTAAAACTCTTTGATCACACAATAACAAGGGGGAAGCAACCCATTGCGATCCCATAGACTCAGAGTGAGGTTCCTTTTTCCTCATCGAGTGGTCAATAACTAGGATACCTCACCCGAATAAGTGGATTCAGCTCCATCAGTGGACATTTCAGAGGAGAAGCTGGACCTTCATTGGAAAGCAAACTGTGATGATTAAAATATTTTCACCAACCATCCATCTTTATTATCGAAGACTGAAAATAGTCAGATCAAAAGTCAGAAAGGGAGTTTGGATATATATTTGGCGAGTCATTGATATGCAGAGAAGCTTTGGATCAAAGATGGCTAATAGTCTTGAGGGATGCGTAGCACGGTGAACCCAAACGTCAGTTGGTGCAGATGAATGGTCGGGCAACGTCGGCTAGAGACGTGTATGAGTGAAACGAAGAGGTCGACATTGATGTCGACGACTTAGCGGAGTGCATATACCGTGGGTTTATTTACCGCTACACACCATAGCTTTCATAATTTTCCCCACTATAACGGATAACTGGTGATTTTCATTGATAAACTACACTGGAGGTGAGATAAACCGAGGATAAAACGAGAAAAAATTCACACTAAAAAGCACTTTTTAAGTCAGAAAGTTATAGAGGCTTCTGCCAGAAGCTATTGGTTCAAAACCTTCTGAATCCTTCAAAAACAGCCTAAAGATAACTTTAGCTCTCTACGTATTGAATTATGTCACTCGTTATGCTGCTGTTCATACTCGCCCCTCACCTAAACAAGGCTGCTCTCCTACTATTCAGACACAAGTCCCTGAGATCAGTTCACTAGACCACTTCAAAGGTCAAGGTTTGAAGTTGAGGTTGACGGTTAGAATTGTGTGTTGCTAGGACTGTCAGTCGCATTCATTTTAATTTCTTAACATGTCAGAAAAGTGGGAGGTTCGGATCGATCATCCGATCAAATCATACGCTGAACTCATGCTCCAGCTAGATTTCTTCCTGTGCAGCCTGTAAGGGGTTTATGAGCATATTCCACCAAGCATATATATGCTTCGTAAACAATCAATAAGAGGTTAATAAGAGCAAACAAAGAGGAAAATATGTTGAACGTACGTTATTTTATATACGTATCTGAAAATATACGAACAAGAGGCGGCATATTCGGATATGTACGTTACGTAAATTTGTCTACAAATTTCCCCTAAATAAACGACGTAAGGGGACAATCAACATTTACACTTTATTAACGTTTTCTTTCGCTTTATCTCTCCTTGTTTGTCTCTGTTTTCCACTTTATTGGTTGCTTGTGATTTCTTGAAATATTTAAATATTTTAAGCAAAACAAATATTTTTCCTTGTCAGCGTCAAATAGTAACGAAAAGTGTTAATTTATCTAAGATATCCCTCTCAATTATTCCGCTTTTCATTCTATTTGGTGTGTAATTCCGAGTCATTGGACTGTTTGATGATTGTGGTTTCTATTCTGAGACTGTTCTTCAAAAAAGTTCCCTACAAATTTTCTACTGCTAGTGTTCTGACAAGCATTTGAAATTAGTAGACATTTCTCAACTTAAAATTGAAAGTTTTGGCGGTCACAGTTTCTTAAATTACAGAACAAAACTGCTATATCTAGAAATACTCAGTTAACAGGTCATCATATTTCAGTATTAGAGGAAACGATCTCTACAGTCTATCTCTATTTGTTAGAAGTTATCCCAACATACTACTTCCGTATACTACCGATACAACTGTAGTTATACTGTTCCCTTATTCGCTAGACATAGTATTACCAATCAGTATTTATTCATGTGTAATTCTTCAGTGGCACGAAAACTCCGTATTCGATAGTAAGACTCGTCTAGTTTTATGCGAGTATCCAGAGCTAAAACATTTGATACAAAACGTCTTCCGGAGCACGGAAAATGTCATTCTGTATGTTAGGATCGTTCACACCAGTAACAGATGACAAAGAAGACTATTTAAGAAAGCTGGTAGTAAACAAAACGGAATTTAGTGCTAAACGTGATGTAAAACGATCCGAAATACTATGGCGATCAGCACCACGATGCTATTTTTCATTGTGTAATCCCGCTGTGGTCATCCGGCTAGTTTTCAGAACTCAACATTTATTAGTCGCGAAAAGTCAGCTAAGTTTCAAACTTCTTTTATTTCGTGAAGCTTTATCTTTTAGATTAGTGTCATACATCGGTGTGTTAACTAATTTTATCACAGTTTTTATTTTTTCGTAGCGAAATATCTCATATACTTATCCATATGTAGCATAAAATGACTTAAGTTCGATCACAGTTACAGAAATTAGTTTCTTTCAAACAACTACATGATCACTATCACTTTTATACTTCGATAATCATACAGCCACTTCCTTCTGAAGTATACCATTGATATCACTTTAAGTTGTATGATGTATTTCATTTATTTATTTGAGTGTACCAGAGCTTAGACGTAGTCATAGTTTAAGTAAGGCAGCTTTCCCGAGCAGTAGTTCGTATATATAACTAACGTTTTACCAAAGGTCACTCAGTCATAATTGTCTTCGATTTTGGTTGAAGTTGCTACTAGCCAGTAACAGGCAATCACCAGAATATTTATGGCAAGCGATCAGATTTACCAGCTCACCAGCTTGGATTTCCTATTTAAAATTAACAGAAGTAGTCATATCGAGTAATATCATCTCTCTCTTTTTGGCTTCTAAAGTGTGACAAATTGTTCACGTTCACCACAAAATGAGTCAAAAATACAATCACGAGAAGAATTTGCCTAGCAGAAGAGAAATTTGTGAATGGGATGACAATGTTGCCGATACTAAACCTTTCAGTCAAAACAGTCCTCGTGATAAATTTGTAAAAGGTAGCAGTCATCGAAGTGATTTATCAAAAAGTTACAAGGAATCCGTTCTCTCTGATAACTGGTCAGCAACAAACCGCGTCTCATCAAATGGACATGAAACTTGTGATGATTTTGATGATAGTAACGTTGAAGGTCCCGTGAGTGATGATGACAATGACTTTGATGAAGATGATGATGCAGAAGATGAGGACTGGGTGGCTTCCGATTATGAGAAAAAAGTAGGTCAATTTTGGTTATTTACACTTAAAACCCCAATGTTTTTACATCGTAAGTGTGATCTTAAATGTACATAGCAGGTCGATAGAAAACTTCTTGTTTTGTGGCTGTGATAAAATGTAATAGTACAGTATGATATGCTATTCATTTCTCAGGTGTTCAACTATATTTGTTTGAGACAGATATAATCAGTTCGTTACATTTCACACGACACCATGAAGGAAAGTTGGCCTGAAAAGGAACAACTGGATGGGGATATTATTTCGATGAGAAACTGCTTTAGTCAATTAATCTGGTGTCCAAATTTTGTAAAGTTACTTGCGTGGGTTTATTGAGTTTGATTTACTCACGTTTTAGCATATACCTCTTAGTAAGTATAGCGTCCAAAATATTATTTGGTAACATGTTTCACCTTAACAATCTAGCATTAGAATTAAACCCAATCTATCGACAGTTGAACGTTCACATTTGCTTTGGATTGAAGGAAAGTTAGCGATAATCATTATAACGATGTCTGACAAAAAAGTATTGGATGAATTTTAACTAGAAAATGTACATCTTTCCCATTTCGCAAAACATTTTGTGCGTGATATGTTCAATTGTATTCATTTAGGCACGCTAAATCTAAATTCAACAGTTAAGTCTCCTTATTTCTTTTCCTGATGTATACAACAGTTTTTTTATTTCCTATTAAAATCAATGGTAGTCATGTCTTATGGTCGGAAATTTTTCTAATATTTAGTGTCGAAGCTGGCTACTTTAAATTACTGTAGTGTTTTCCTATTTAGGTATAACGATTTATTAACGCTAAAATTTATGTGCAGTGAGCTACAGTTAAGAGATTTGTAAACTGTATTTAAGTTATCATACTAAGTATTGATTCCATCCTACTTCATCATTAATTCTATCATCTGTACATCTCTATCTGATTTTTTGATGATAGTTTAGTCAATTATACTCTGTCATTCGTATAATCTCAGCTATGTATGCCTGCAAAAAACAAAGGACCTGAACATCTAATCAATTGTCATGCAACTCTTATCAGACTCCGCTCTAAAAATGGTACACAAAATGTGAAGTCTAGTAGTCTAAATCATTTTTAAAAAAATGTTTCTCTAAAATAATTCAATTGATCAGTTTTTTATATTAGATAAGAAAATGATATTAGGTTTCTCAAGGTTGTCCTTATTTTGTGGATATTAATAAAAACCGAAATTTTAAGGATTAAATGCAGTTAACTAGATAATGTTAATGTACTCCACTGTGTAGAAGTATAGAACATTATTCATTGAAACGTTCGAGATACTTGTCATTAGCCATAATAAACATAGGTGGCTATTGCTTAGAACATGTAATTCCTATCTTTCTACAGTTTTATGTGCTTCGCAACATTACTCTAAACCTTTTGGACCTTTTTATTTATTTATTTGAACACATAAATGCTGATACAAAGGGGTACCAAATACACATGCGTCACACAAGTCACTTGATTTGTGTGGGGGGTAATACTGCCCGAGTGCCCAGACCGAAGCAAATGATATTTTGAACGATTGGTCTGCGAATGTAGTAGGACTAACCACTCGTATTATCGTTTGGTATACCTGAACATTACTAATTATAACTAATTGTACTTCACTGTAACTGAAAAAGTTGTTCTCTTTTATCGTCTTAATGAAATAATTTCGCCTAGGTTTTCAATTGCGAAGCTTTTGTTCACTCTACATTACCAATTTTTTAGCGTCCTAGTCGCACTTCTCGAACACAACTCACTGGTTCACGTAAAATTGGAAATAGTTGCAGTTCACATCGCAAAAGTTCACATGGAGATCGTTCTCAACGTAGAATTGGCAGCAGTTTGCCAAGGACAGCTGCTCACAATCCAGGGAGTAATCGTATTGTTTCTTCCAATAAATCTTCCAAATCTGTTGGTCGACCTAGAACTGTTAATCGCTATCAAGGTGGAAGTGCTAGGACTGTTCATGCATCATCTGGTCGTAAGATTGCTACACGTCGAGTTGAAAAACCAAAGACAAATAATAGCAACCCACGAAAAGTATTTGATTCACTAATACCTAACGAACTAAAAAAGCCTCGACAATGTTTCGGTCCTGGATGCACTCGAGCTGCAGCAAGACCAGATACAAAATATTGTTCAAATGAATGTGGACTTAAACTTGCCATCAAGTTTGTAGCTTATCTGTACTTTGCTTCATTTACGAAATATTTTGTTTATAGATCACATTTTTAAACTCTAATGACTTAAAAATGTTTAGAAGTAATAAGACGAAATCCATTATAATATTTACTGTGCTGCTCCCAC